ACGGAAAATTAATTAACACACGGAGACGTAACAATATGCTCTTTATCCGGTGTTCTAGGCTGCTCTTGTGAAGCGATAGATAACAGTTTCCTGGGGGTAGCTAGTGAATGTGTAGATAAAAATGATCTAGTATTAGTTACTTCTGCCTTTACGTAAAGTTTGTTGAACGACAACACATAAAAGTAACTTATATATATACCTATTTATATCGACATTGTATAAGTAGATTAGAATTGATATAATATTTATTGCCCATTTTAAACCTAATCGAACCTAATTTTTGTTATTCTTTTCATTGAAGTGTTTATAGATGGGCTAGGATAATAACAAACACTGATACTAGAGGAAGTCAAAACCATAGGATGTTTCTATCATGGCGACACTACAATCAGGTCGATATCGTAAGGTTGGGAAACCTGTGTTTAATTTTCACAAAAGTTTCTTTTAAACGGTTTTTATTTTTTTATTGTTTCAAAGAGAATACGTAAAGCCTAATGTCCCCAAATATTTGCTACGCACTCTAATTTATATAGTTTAATATACTTTGTCCGCCATGCAAAGACGTATTTACAACTTGCTCGAACTAATACAATATCATTAAAAACAAGGGACCGAAAAAACAGGATTTTCAAAACTATGTAACTATGCGAAGATGACATAATGCACGAGAAACGTGATACCGAATTACCAAAACGTATGCTTAACTTTATTTACACACTCGCTAGCATGCCTTATACGTCTTTCTACGATTTAAAAAAATAAAAGGATTTTTGAAATCTGCTCTGGGGTTACTTCCAATGCCAGTATTGAAAAACACGTTCCAACATTTTACCCACTGATTTCTTGGCCTGGCATAGCCTAGCAGTTAATGTGCTCGACTTCTAATTTGAGGGTCACGGGTTCGAAGACCCGTCACTGAAAATGCTAGCCTTTTTTAGCCGTGGGGACGTTATAATGTGACGATGAATCCCACTATTCGTTGGTAAAAGAGTAGCCCAAGCGTTGGCAGTGGGTGATGATGACTAGCTGCCTTCCCTCTAGTCTTTCACTGCTAAATTATGGACGGTTAGTGCAGATAGCCCTCGTGTAGCTTTGCGCGAAATTCAAATCAAACAAACAAACCACTAATTTATTTTTAGTATGGAATCAAAATTTTGAAAGAAAGCAGCTGTTAGATATATATTTATAAATGACATCACTAGTATGAGTTTACGTGTATGCAAACCGTTGAGAATACTGATAAACATAAACATCGTTTTTATTGCACTTACGTGGTCCAGCAATACCAAATAAGAATGCGTAATGGTATGACATTTAAATCATCTACCAGTGTGTATACGTGTACATAGAGTGCAAAATACTTAATGTAATCTCTTTTATAACTTATCAATGTCTAATAATTAAGAAAAAGTTATAGTAAGCGTGCAGAATTGAAAAATAAAACAAAACAGCAACACTAAAAAAAACGTAGTAGTTAAGAATAAGAGTCAGACATATCTGTATCACTGTAGTCTCTTAGAACGGATGAAAAACAAAACAGCAACACTAAAAAATAAAACACGTAATAGTTAAGATTAAGAGTCAGACACACACCTGTATCACTGTAGTCTCTTAGAACGGATGAAAAACAAAACAGCAACAATAAAAAAACACGAAGAAGTTAAGATTAAGAGTCAGACATACCTGTATCACTGTAGTCTCTTAGAATGGATGAAAAAACAAAACAAAAACAACAACACGAAAAAAAGTAGTAGTTAAGAATAAGAGTCAGACATATCTGTATCACTGTAGTCTCTTAGAACGGATGAAAAACAAAACAGCAACACTAAAAAATAAAAACTCGTAGTAGTTAAGATTAATAGTCAGACACACCTGTATCACTGTAGTCTCTTAGAACGGATGAAACTGGACAAGAAATCCGATTCAGTAATCCTCAATCTAACGCTATTTACAGAGTTCTTCCTACCGTCCACGCCAGCTATGGGTCAGTTTTGAAGCGCTTTGATTGGAACACATTCTATTTTTTCTTATCTGCCATTTTTCGTCTACCTCCGTTGTGAGAACAATGAGCTGTGAAACTTGTATATCATTAAATATGTGTGTGTGTGTCAGTAAGCACGAGCTTTCAGCACAACGTCAGTACACAGGTACAAAGGACAGTTCACATTGAAATCTTTGTTTGTTTTCAGATAATCACGTAAGACTACTCAAAGGCTATCTGCGTTAGCTTTCGTTACTGTTATTATTATTATTATTTAATTGATGGACTTATAGGGAAGGCTACTTGTTTATTGTTAAGCATAAAGCTACTCAAAGCTATATGTGCTGTACCCACCACGGGTATCAAAAACCGGTTTTAAGCTTTAGAAGTCTTCAAATTTACCGCTAAGACACCGAGGAATGGGAAGGCTGCTAGTCAACGGCACACACCGCCATCTCTTGGGCTTCACTTGTCTGGCCGTATAGTAGGATTTGACGGACGCGTTTATAATGGCTCTATAGAGTGAAACGCGATTTCTGTTTTCGGAACGCGAATCTGCAGATCCACAGTCCGACACACCAACCATTGGGCCACACCCGAAAAATATTGGGGCATTTTTTGCCAACCAGTAGTGAGATTGAAGGTCACATGATAACTCCCCCTATAGAACATGCTCAGTGCCGGGTTTCGATACCACGACTTGTAGATTACGAGTCCAGCGCCCTAGCCACCAGGCCATTATAAGTCTAAAGAGAAAGTCAAATAACACATTATGACGATTTGATTTTTATGAATTTACAAATAGTATAACATAGAATCAAACTTGGCTTAGCTTTAAGGTATATAATCCTAATTAGTCCAGCTGCTGAAATATTTTATGATTCTTCACACTCGGTCTGCTTAGAGTCCTAGCGCGTGTTTCTTTTATTGATACTTCACCAACTGTTAATATTAGTACAGTTTCAGAAATGTTAAAATGAGGCCAACGATAGAGTATGTGTATTTAGGGTTGTTAGTTTAGTGTTTTATCAAAGTCTGTATTCGAATCGCTTTCGTAAAGTTATGTTTGATGTGAAATATATTACTTTGAATTTGGATTGGTATAGAATGGAAGAGGGATTTTGTTTATTTTACTGAATTTCGCGCAAAGCCACTAGAGGGCTATCTGCGCTAGCCGTCCCTGGTTGTGAAGTGAGAGACTAAAGGAAAGGCAATTAATTAACACCACATGCCCGCTAACTCTTGAGCTACTCTTTACTAACGAATAATGGAATTGATCGATACATTATAACGCCCCATGGCTGAAATTCGAGCATGTTAGATGATGGGTTTCGATCCCACAACCCGAGAGATTAAGAAGTAAAAGCATTTTCAAATATAAAAACCCCTTCTAGTTGCTCATGGGTAAGACTGAAGACTCACAACGCTAAAAACCGGGTTTCGATACTCGTGGTGAGCTCAGCACAGACAACCCATTGTGTAGCTTTGTGCTTAAAGATGAACAAACATACAAATAAAGAAAAATATTTCAAAAAAAGCGAAAAAAATGAGTTAATATAAAAACATTTTACAGGTTTACTTAAAAAGAGAATAGACGTGTTTTTTTTTGTTGTTGTTTTGAAGTTCATGTTGCAACTAAAGATAATTTCAACGTAATTTATTGTTATTTTTTCATTACGGTTTACAACACTCTGTACTAAGATTTTTTAA